GTGACAGGGCTATAGTGTCAGGGTTAGTGACAGGACTATAGTGTCGGGGTTATTAACAGGGCTGTAGTGTCAGGGTTAGTGACAGGGCTGTAGTGTCAGGGTTAGTGACAGGGCTATAGTGTCAGGGTTATTAACAGGGCTATAGTGTCAGGGTTAGTGACAGGGCTATTGTGTCAGGGTTAGTGACAGGGCTATAGTGTCAGTGACAGGGCTATAGTGTCAGGGTTAGTGACAGGGCTATAGTGTCAGTGACAGGGCTATAGTGTCAGGGTTAGTGACAGGGCTATAGTGTCAGTGACAGGGCTGTAGTGTCAGGGTTAATGATAGGGCTATAGTGTCAGGGTTAGTAACAGGGCTGTAGTGTCAGGGTGAGTGACAGGGCTATAGTGTCAGGGTTATTAACAGGGCTGTAGTGTCAGGGTTAGTGACAGGGCTATAGTGTCAGTGACAGGGCTGTAGTGTCAGGGTTAGTAACAGGGCTGTAGTGTCAGGGTTAGTGACAGGGCTATAGTGTCAGTGACAGGGCTATAGTGTCAGGGTTAGTAACAGGGCTATAGTGTCAGGGTTAGTGACAGGACTATAGTGTCAGGGTTATTAACAGGGCTGTAGTGTCAGGGTTAGTGACAGGGCTGTAGTGTCAGGGTTAGTGACAGGGCTATAGTGTCAGGGTTATTAACAGGGCTATAGTGTCAGGGTTAGTGACAGGGCTATTGTGTCAGGGTTAGTGACAGGGCTATAGTGTCAGGGTGAGTGACAGGGCTATAGTGTCAGTGACAGGGCTGTAGTGTCAGGGTTAGTGGCAGCAGCAAGGCTGACCAATTAAAATGGACACGTGGCGTCAGACGCATCACGTGGCCCTGCCCCATTGAGTGATCGATCTATTTGCGGCGCTCACAGCGGAGTCGGCAACAGCACGAGAAAGGAAACGCGGCGTGTACAAAGACAAAGGTCCCCCGCATGGCCTCAACGGACTGTTGGGCCAAGTGTCATTAGCGAGCACCTATGAAGGCCAGCACACGTGGGGAGATGTGGGGGGGGAGGGGGGTGGCCGATGCACCGCACCCGACCTCCTGACGTTCACAGACACCGCACCAAAGACTAATTTAAGGCCGAGCCTATCTAGGGGAGGCACAGTCCACTGCCCGGGCAGGGGAACTCCTCCACTCTCTCCACGCGTGCCCAGTGGCTCGTGGGGAGAGCGTGACGGTCGGCGCGGGGTTGGTGGGGCTGGTGGCAAGGCCCCCACCACCCACACCCCCCACCATCTCTGCGTGGCTCACGAAGACAAAGATCCCCCGTATAGCCTTTTAACGGACCGTTGGGGCAAGTGCTGTTCGCGAGCACCAAGAGACGTCCGCCACTGTGGAAACACGTGGCCGGCGGGCCGCCTTTGTCTCACCGGTGCTGACGAGTGCGCATTTTTGTTACGGGGGCCGAGTCGACCTTTGGGGAAGGTCCTGGAGTAGTCGCAACACTTCGCCGTGAACGTCGTTGATTCTGAGCGGGCCGTCGACACTCAGGGTGGGGAGGGAGGGGGGTCGCCGCATTTCGTCGCGCGGCGCGAACCACTGTGCCACCGCTCCCCCCCCCCACACGCGCACAGGTTTTTGTTGTTGTTGTTGTGTGTGGTGTGTCTGGGCCCGACTAGCGCCGAGACTGTTGCAGGGCTATGCGGCGCTATTCTTAGCGGCGCTGGCAGACGGCTGTTGCCACTGCTGTCAAATAAACAGTGGCGACACGCGCACAAGACAAAGGCCAATAAGATTCCCCCCGTGTAGCCTGTGATAGGCTGTCGGGGGCAAGTGCTGTTAGCGAACACCTTTGAAGGCCGGCACGGCGCACGAGAGGGTGGGTGGCCAGCCCCACGCCTGGCCGCCTTTGTATCCCCAGTGGCGATGTTTACATGCCGCACCCGGGTACTCGTTTGAGGCCGAGTCGACCTAGGGGAGGCCCAGGACCAGCTCAGATAATCGTCACTGGTGTTGGCCGTGAGCGCGAATCGAACCCGGGTCGCCGGGTTCGACGCGCAGCGTAGCGCTAACCACTACACCACCGCGCCCCCCGACAGAGACAGCGGCACAGACACGGGCTACTCCCCCGTGCTTGTTGCCTGTCACCGGCTGTTGGGGAACGTGCCGTTAGCGAGCGCCTATTAAGGCCCTCGCCGAGTCTCGTGACCCTTTTGCAGGAGGGTCCTGCCACGTTTTAGCAGCGGGCCGGGGGGGGGGGCGATGATTGCCTTTCATGCTGCTACCGCTGTGCGGCGTAGCCCCAAGGAATCCCACAGAATCCCACGGAAATCCACAAAATCCCACGGAATCCCACAGAATCCCACGGAATCCCACACAATCCCACGGAATCCCACGGAAGGTGACTTGCGGTGTAACTCTTGCACATTTTGTCAAAGTTTGGACCATGACGCCGCCACGCGACGGCCTGCCTCTTGCGAACGACGGCGTCACGGGCGTCTTCGGCGTACGCCGTGATCGCCGCTCCCGGGAAAGCCATGGCAGGCTAGTGCTGGATGAAGCTAGCGCGGGGTCTGTAGCATATGTTATAAATGGGCCCAAAATAAATAAAAACTTAAATATTTAAACGCAGATTATTTTACTTGCATAGCAAAATTGTAAGTTTTTCATTTGCCATACAGCCAGATAATACGACAAATCGCTAACGTTAAACACCCGGTCCTTCATAAAAGTTGAAGGCGGTATAGTACAATAGTCATCGAGCAAGTGCAGAATCACTGAACCGGAATTGATAGCTTGAAAGCATTCAGCACGGGGGCCCGTAGCATTATGCAGCTGCTTTTGCTACGAGGATCATCCGGCACTTGGGCAGGAACGAATCGGAATTTTGTGGCACTCCCGAGCAGGGGAGATGGAGCTGGAATGAAACCCAGGGTTTGCCGGGTCCGGGGTGGTCGTGCGTGCGTGTGCGCGCTCGCGGTGTGCCGCGAGGGGGGACTGTGAAGCAGTCTCCACGCGGGAAGATATTCTTAGATGAAAGGAAATCTCTGCTCCAGGAACACGGTGTCTTCTGAAACAGCAGCAGGCGGAACACGACACACACACATGCGAGCGTACAGGACACACACACGGACACACACACGGACACACACACGGACACACACACGGGCAAAACAAAGATTTCCCCCCCCCCCCCCCCCCCGTGTAGCTTTAACAGACTGTAGGGGAAAGTGCTGTTAGCGAGCACCTATGAAGGCCGGAACGGTACACGAGGGGGTGGGTGGCCAGCACCACGCCCGACCGCTTTTGTCTCCCTAGTGGCAATGTTTACACACCGCACCAGGTACTCATTTGAGGCTGAGTCGACCTAGGGGAGGTCCAGGATCCGGTTCAGATAATTCGTGAGCGGGAATCCAACCCGGGAATCTCGCCGGGTTCGTGACGCAGCGCGGACGGAAAAACAAAACACTCGCCGTGGGCAGGCGCAGTGGTGAGGCAAAGACAAAGGTCCCCCGCGTAGCCTTCACAGACTGCTGGGGCAAGTGCTGTAAGCGAGCATCTGAACCGGTCCTGGGCCTCCCCTAGGTCGACTCGGCCTCAAATGAGTACCTGGTGCGATGTGTAAACATCGCCACTGGGGAGATAAAGGCAGCCGGGCGTGGTGTTGGCCACCCACCCCCTCGTGTGCCGTGCCGGCCTTTATAGGTGCTCGCTAACAGCACTTGCCCCTACAGTCTGTTAAGGCTATACGGGGGTCTTTGTGCATGCTTGAGTGTATACATATGTGTTTGTCTGTGTGTGTATGCGTGAGTGTATACGTGTGTGTGTCTGTGTGTGTATGTATGCGTGAGTGTATACGTGTGTGTGTCTGTGCGTGTATGCGTGAGTGTATGCGTTTGTGTGTCTGTGTGTATACGTGTGTGTGTCTGTGTGTGTGTGTATACGTGTATGTGTGTCTGTGCGTGTATGCGTGAGTGTATGCGTGTGTGTGTCTGTGTGTATACGTGTGTGTGTCTGTCTAGGTCGACTCAGCCTCAAATGAGTACCTGGTGCGGTGTGTAAACATCGCCACTAGGGAGACAAAGGCGGTCGGGCGTGGTGCTGGCCACTCACCCCCTCGTGTACCGTTCCGGCCTTCATAGGTGCTCGCTAACAGCACTTGCCCCTACAGTCTGTTACAGGCTATATGGGGGATCTTTGTATACGTGTGTGTGTGTCTGTGCGTGTATGCGTGAGTGTATGCGTGTATGTGTCTGTGTGTATACGTGTGTGTGTCTGTGTGTGTGTATACGTGTGTGTGTCTGTGCGTGTATGCGTGAGTGTATGCGTGTGTGTGTCTGTGTGTATACGTGTGTGTGTCTGTGTGTGTGTGTATACGTGTGTGTGTCTGTGTGTGTGCATGAGCAGCTGCGCGCCGTGCATGTTAAGGAGCTCCGTGTCCTAAATTAAGTAGGAAAATAAAAAATTAAACGATCCCCATAGCCACGAGCGGCAGCAGCAGTAGCAGCAGACACTGCTAGAGGGGGGAGTGTGGAGGATCAGAATGGGGGGGGGATGCAGGGATTCCATACGGAGGGTAGAGGGTAGGAGAGCGCTGAGGGATTGAATAAATAATTGGTAGTTTGATGGATGGATAAAAGATCAAAAGGTGGATGGGCTGATGGAGTGATGTTGATAAGGATCAAGCGATGGGATGATGGAGTGATTGGTGGAATTGGTTTAGAGATGGATGGAGTGATTGAAGGGGTGATGTTTGGAGTGATGGATGAATGGAAGGAGTGATGCGTGCAGTGATGGATCTATTGATGGGAGTGGTGGATAAATGAGTCCGGGATGGGGTTGCACCATTATTGACCAACGTGAAAAGTATCGTGAAAAGCCGAAGAGAGAGAAAAAACAACTCGAAAGTGACCGTTCCCTCTCAGGCCAACCTCGTGCCCCTTCTCCTCTTGACCCCTTGACCCCTTGACCCCCCCTCCTCCGTTGACCCCCCCACCCTACCCCACCCCACCCCCACCCCACACCGTGCAGCGTGCGGGCTTGCCGGGGGCGGCGCGGAGGACGAGGGGGAGGCGACGGCCGGCTGGATCGAGGGAGCGGCCATCCTCCTGTCGGTGGCGTGCGTTGTGCTCGTCACGGCGTTCAATGACTGGAGCAAGGAGCGACAGTTCCGCGGCCTGCAGAATCGCATCGAGCAGGAGCAGAAGTTCTCGGTCATCCGCGGCGGGCAGCTGCTCCAGGTCCCCGTGGCAGCCATCGTGGTGGGCGACATCGCCCAGGTCAAATACGGTACGAGGGTTGAATACGGTATGGGGGTTGAAATACGGTACGGGGGTCAAATACGGTATGGGGGTTGAAATACGGTACGGGGATCAGATGCAGTAAAGGGGATCAAACACGGTACGGGGGTTGAATACGGTACGGGGTCAGACATGGAATTGGGGTCGGATGCAGGGCCGGGAATGAAATATGGTACGGAGGTTAAATATGGTATTGGAGGCGACATTCGTGGCGACGCTGAGATGCTCAAGTAGGGCACAGATTATGACGACGACAATGATCGTGATGACTTCGGTGACAATGATGACAAGGACCACGGCGACGACGCCGACGACGACGATGATGATGATGATGGCAGCACTGCTTGACCGTGCAGGTGACCTGCTGCCCGCGGACGGGGTGCTCATCCAGAGCAACGACCTCAAGGTGGACGAGAGCTCCCTAACCGGGGAGTCCGACCAGGTGCGCAAAGCCATCGACAGGGACCCCAACCTTCTCTCAGGTCAGGGGTCACACACACACACGGACACACACACACACGGACAACAACAACCGCCATTCGCCACTAAGTGGCGGTGACGTCACCACGACGCTTGTGCCAGGCCAAGTTCACTTTGAGGCCACGTGAAGTGTCGAACGCCCGCTGGCAGGTCACGGGGCAGACCCAAGTGCCACGGGTCGACTGACTAAGATGACTGAGATGGCTGGCTGATGCACCACCTGTGCCCCCTACAGTGCCAACCTGCTGTGCTTTAACCACCCGGCGCTCCGCTCATTGTTGTGAGCGTCGCTCCTCCGCCCTCCGTTGTTGTTGGAGGGCGACTGCCTCCAACTGCCCAGTAGCGTCCTTCACGAGCCTCCTCCACAGAGGCCGATATTGACACCGCTGGTGCCAGTCATCGGCAAGTCCACTCAGCTCCACGTCCTCCTGTACCACATCACTCCATCTCTTCTCTAGCCTGTGCCGCGCCCGTTTAGCCCCCTCGATCCGGCCGAACAAAAGCTGTTTCGGCATGCGGTGGCTGGGCATGCGGGCTACATGACCCAGCCAACGCAGCCTTGCCTACAGGAGGAGCTCACACGGACACACGCACACGGACACACAACAACAACAACCGCCATTCGCCACTAAGTGTCGGTGACGTCACCACGACGCTTGTGCCAGGCTATGTGCACCCTGAGGCCACGTGAAGTGTCGAACGCCCGCTGGCAGGAGGTCACGGGGCAGACCCAGGTGCCACGGGTCGACTGACTGAGATAACTGGCTGATGCACCACCTGTGCCCCCTACTGTGCCAACCTGCTGTGCTTTAGCCACCCGGCGCTCCGCTCGTTGTTCTGAGCGTCGCTCCTCCGCCCTCCGTTGTTGTTGGAGGGCGACTACCTCCAACTGCCCAGTAGCGTCCTTCACGAGCCTCCTCCACAGAGGCCGATCTTGACACCGCTGGTACCAGTTATTGGCAAGTCCACTCAGCTCCACGTCCTCCTGTACCACATCACTCCATCTCTTCTCTAGCCCGTGCGGCGCCCGCTTAGCCCCCTCAATCCGGCCGAACAAAAGCTGTTTCGGCAGGCGGTGGCTGGGCATGCGGGCTACATGACCCAGCCATCGCAGCCTTCCCCGCCGGAGGAGCTCACCGATGGGACCTTGCCCAGATCTTTCAAGGTTTTGTGAGCTCCTCACACAATCTAGTCTGGTTAAACCCAGGATGGATCGTAGGCAGGCCAGCCTAAATGTTTCTAACCGGCGAAGATGTTCCATTAGGGGGGTCCACGTTTCGCAAGCGTAGAGAAGGGAGGGAATGACCGTGGCCGAGAAGACCTGAAGCTTCGTGCGGAGCGACAGACCAGGTAGCTTCCACACAGCGTTACGCAACCGATGAAAATATATTGCCGCTCGACTGATTCGGAGTGAGACCTCTGCTGTTAAACTGGAGCCAGTCAAAAGCACACTGCCCAGGTATTGGAAACTCTCCACTCTCTCCACAACTGCCCCATCACCGATTGGGAGTTGTGGGGGTGGAGTGTCCGATGGTACAAAATACCCAGGCAGGTGCTTAGTTTTGGTGGGGCTGATGGTAAGGCCCCACCTCTTAGTGGCACGCTCCAGTCTCAGCAGCACCGTCTCCAACTCCTCCTCTGAATGAGCAGCTATTACCAAATCATCAGCATACATAACGTGGTTGAGCAATAGGGAGCCATCCCTTGACCGCACCCGGGCGTCGATCAGCCTCCCATTATATCTGTACCATATGGAGATTCCCCCGGTACAGCTATTGAAGGCTTCACGAACTACGTGGTCAAAATAGATGTTCAATAATGTGGGAGCCAGAGGACATCCCTGTCGCACCCCAAGGATAACAGGGAATGGCTCTGACTCCCGGCCACGTAGTTTTACCCGGGCCCGCTCACCATCATGAAGGTCCTTCATGACCGTGAGCAGAGGGTCAGGTACTCCAAAAGCACAAAGAACAACCCAGAGCCCAGGCCTACTGATGGTATCATAGGCCTTGACCAGGTAATAAAGCAGAGATGTAGGTCTTGTTGGAATTCCCTACACCTCTGCTGTAGCAGACGGACAGAAAATATGGCATCTGTGCAGGACCGCCCTTTCCTGAAACCGCATTGGGGCTCCGCAAGCTTCTCTTCAGCGTGCCTGGCAAGGCGATGTTGAATAATCCTTGCCAGGACCTTTCCCGGCACACTGAGGAGTGAGATGCCCCTGTAGTTGTTACAGTCTGTGCGGTCCCCCTTCTTAAACAGGGGGACCACCAGGGCATCCTTCCAAACCTGCGGAACCCGTCCAGTGGTCTAGACTGTTGTTATGATGTCATATAGGGCAGTCTGTGCACAAACGCCACCCTCCCTCAGCATTTCGCTTGGGAGATCATCTCTGCCCGCTGCCTTTCCTGGTCTTAGACTCCAGATCGCCTTCAGTACTTCCTCAACAGATGGCACCTCAGCCAGCCACTCACAGGGGGTGACTTCTTCCAATATTTGAGGCACCACAGCCTCAGCAGGGTCATCCTCACTTTGTGCCACGATGTTTTCCTGGCTGAGGCATTTTCGCTCCCCCAGGACCTCACAGAAATGCTCAGCAAATCTGCAAACCTGTTCCTGGGGGTCAGAGATTGAGTCACCGTTTTTTCTCCTAATGATGGTAATAGGTGTGGCGCTGCAGGTTACTTTTTTGATGGAGTTAAATAGAGATTTGTGATAACGGGCCACTGAGGCAGACTCCATCTCCTCAGCAACCCGCGACCACCACCCATCCTTGCAGCGCCTCACGGCTCTCCGAACCTCCGAGCGAAGGCTGCGGTAAGCCTCCTCATTCTCTGACGTGGGATTCTGTAGCCGATGACAGTGGGCCTGTCGCTTTTTCTCAACCATCCTGAACACCTCCTCTGTCAGCCAGGGTCTCTGGGGAGGTCTGGACCGCGTACCCAAAGCAGCCATTGCAGCTGCATGAGTCACAGTCCTAAACCTCGCCCATTTACCCTCGACATCAGGAGGAGTCGGGGACAATGCCAATCCCAGCTGCAAGCGATGATGAATTCTCGCTTACAACTTTCATCAGATAACTGAGACCAGGCCACTTTAGGTTGGAATGGGGTCCTGTGTGTACACCCACCACCGGAGTGGAAGAATGGCAAGCGCATCTTACAGATGACTAGTCGATGGTCAGAGAGCAGATCAGCTCCACGGTAGGTCCTGGTGTCAAGGACATGGGCTCGCATCCGCTGGTCCGTCACTATGTAGTCCAGCAGATGTTCTTGCTTGGACCCGGCATGCATCCATGATGTTGTGTGGATGCGCCGATGCCGGAACAGCGTGTTGGTAATTACAAGCCCATGGGCTGCACAAAAATCTAGCAGCCTCCTACCGTTGTTATTGAGCTGATCTGGCCCATGCCCTCCAATCACTCCAGACCAGGTGCCAGTATCATGACCAACTAGGGCATTGAAGTCACCCAACATGATGACTCTATCCCGAGGGGCCACTTTAGCCAGCACCTGTGACAGGAGGTCATAGAAGGCATCTGACTCATCGGCTTTGCCTGCATCCCTCCACGGATGTTCATCTTCGGTGGGGCATAAGTAACCACGACCACCATTCCTCACCTCCGGCTGATGGGAAGGCGAGCCCAAAGTAGCCTGGGACTTACAGCTTCCCACACCTCACCGCCACGCTCCCACGCCCCCTTCATTCTTTTGTTAAAAAAGAAGAGCCACACCCTGTTGTTTGGCAGTCTGCTGCCCCGAGTAGAGGACTGTCCACCCCTCATGGTGGCAGGAGCCAGAGCCGGTCCACCGGACCTCCTGAATGCCACACAGATCCAGGCGGTACCGGTCCAGCTCCCGACAGAGGAGTGTCAGCCTCTCCTCCGCAGTGAGTGTTCGAACATTCCACGTGGCCAACCGTAGTGGCTTTTCGTTGTTTCTGGAGGAGCCCCGAGGGTAGATATTCAATCTCCTGGCTCCGCCAATTGGGGTTTGGCCAGGAGACGTCATAAACGCCTGGCCCCCCGGGGCCTCCGGCACAAGCTTATTAGTTACATATTTCAGTTTAACTCGTGGTTTAGTGGTAATTAATTGAAGGTGGAGGGGTTACCAGCCCCTCGCACCCGTCCAGAGCCCCCATTTAGCCCCTGTGGTGGACACATATGCCATGAGGGGAGGAGCCAATCAAAATTGGACCTCCCCCCACAGCACTGTCCACGACAGAGTTGCCCGTCCGGCACCGCGAGGAGTTAGGGGGTTGTTTTGCCGGACACACACACACACGGACACACACACACGGACACACACACACGGACACACACACGGACACACGCACACGGACAAAAATCCCCTGTATAGACTTAAGAGACTGTTGGGGCAAGTGCTGTTAGCGAGATATCTATGCAGGCCGGCACGGCACACGAGGGCGTGAGTGACCAACACCACGCGCGGCCTCCTTTGTCTCTCCAGTGGCGATGTTTACAAATCGCACCGGGTACTCATGTGGGGCTGAGTCGACCTAGGGGAGGCCCAGGACCGGAATTGAACCTGGGTCGCCTGGTTCGTAGTGCAGCATAGTGCGAACCGCTACACTACCGCTACCCACGGACACGCACGCACTGACACAAACGTAATGACAACTTGACACACTTCTCTTGAGATGGCACTTTATTGAAGACGCGTTCACTTGACATCAGGCGAAGACCCCCACTGCAACAGCCCCGAGTCTCCCGCGCATCTCCCCCTTACATACCAACACGAGGCCACGCCCCCCTTCCTGAACCTTCTCGCTGACTCTGGACGCTCGCTCCACCGGCAGACTCCACCCTCACCTGACCACGCTCCCTTCTCGAACATTCCCGTAGCCATCTGCTGACTCCCCTGTCATTACCTCCCGTGGCCACCGGTCCCTTCGCACTCACAGCTGACTCCCCTGTCATTACCTCCCGTGGCCACTAGTCATCTCACACCGCATGCAGGCTCTATTATCATTGCACAAAGACACACGGACACACACACACACACACGCATTCATAGGCACACGCACACATCACAAATGCATAGACGCACACGCTCGTGCCAAAATACACGCCCGCACGCAAGGGCACACGCATGAACGTGTGTCCACACACACACAGTATGCGTAGACACATTGATAAAGATCCCCTATATAGCCTTTAACAGACTGTTTGGGCAAGTGCTGTCCACGAGCACCTATAAAAGCCGAGGGGAGGGGTAGCTAACACCGCCAGGTAATCATTTGAGGCTGGGTTTACCTAGGGGAGGCCCAGTACCCGTTCAGATAATCGTCACTGTTGTTAACCGTGAGCGGGAATCGAACCCGGTTACCGGTTTCGTAGCGCTGCGTGCAAACCACTGCGCTACCGCTACCCACAACATCGGCACCACCAACACCCCCCGCCTGCTCATCCTCCTCCTCCTCATACTCCTCCTTCTACTCGTCTTACTCCTCGTCCTCCTCATCCTCCTCATACTCCTCTTCATCATCCTCATCCTCGTCGCCCCCCTCCTCCCCCTGTGCGCGCTCCACGTGCGCGGCGCCCTGGCTGCAGGCACGCACGTGATGGAGGGCTCGGGGAAGATGGTGGTGACGGCCGTGGGCGTCAACTCCCAGACGGGCATCATCTTCACGCTGCTCGGTGCCGGCGACGTGGAGGAGGAGGAGGAGCGGCGCGACAAGAAAGGTGGGCGGCACTGTGATGGTGGTGGTGGTGGTGGCAGTAACCGTCGTCGCCGTCGTCACCGTCATCGTCGTCGTCACCCTCATCACCGTCACCGTCATCGTCACCGTCACTGTCATCGTTGTCGCCGTCATTGTCTCCGTCGTTGTCACCATCACTGTCATCATCGTCTATGTCATCGTCACCGCCATCGTCACTGTCATCATCGTCACCGTCATTGTCTCCGTCGTCGTCACCATCACTGTCATCATCGTCTATGTCATCATCACCGTCATCGTCACTGTCATCATCATCACCGTCATCATCACCGTCGTCGTCACCATCACTGTCATCATCGTCACCGTCATCATCACCGTCATCGTCACTGTCATCATCGTCACCGTCATCACCGTCATCATCACCGTCGTCGTCACCATCACTGTCATCATCGTCACTGTCATCATCACCGTCATCGTCACTGTCATCATCATCACCGTCACTGTCTCCGTCATCGTCTCCGTCTCCGTCATCATCACCGTCACCATCACTGTCATCATCGTCACCGTCATCATCGTCACTGTCATCATCACCGTCATCGTCATCATCAGGACGACCCCCTGTGCTCCCAGGAGAGCCTCACTCAGTCTCTGGTAGCAGTCCCACAACTACCAACCACAATCACTAACTACTAACCACAACCACTAACTACTAACCACAACCACTAACTACCAATCACAACCACTAACTACTAACCACAACCACTAACTACCAATCACAACCACTAACTACTAACCACAATTACTAACTACTAACCACAATTACTAACTACCAATCACAACCACTAACTACTAACCACTAACTACCAACCACAATCACTAACTACTCACCACTAACTACCAACCACAATCACTAACTACTAACCACAAACACTAACTACTCACCATTAACTACCAATCACAACCACTAACTACTCACCATTAACTACCAATCACAACCACTAACTACTAACCCCAATCACTAACTACTAACCACAATTACTAACTACCAATCACAACCACTAACTACTAACCACAATTACTAACCACAACCACTAACTACTAACCACAATTACTAACCAGAACCACTAACTACCAACCACAATCACTAACTACTAACCACAACCACTAACTACCAACCACAATCACTAACTACTAACCACAATTACTAACCACAACCACTAACTACTCACCACTAACTACCAATCACAATCACTAACTACTAACCACAACCACTAACTACCAACCACAATCACTAACTACTAACCACAATTACTAACTACTAACCACAACCACTAATTACCAATCACAATCACTAACTACTAACCACAACCACTAACTACCAACCACAATCACTAACTACTAACCATAATTGCTAACCACAACCACTAACTACTCACCACTAACTACCAATCACAATCACTAACTATTACCCTCAACCACTAACTGCCAACCACAATCACTAAGTACTAACCACAATTACTAACTACTAACCACAATCACTAACTACCAATCACAATTACTAACTACCAATCACAATTACTAACTACTAACCACAATTACTAACTACCAACCACTAATTACTAACCACAATCACTAACTACAAACCACAATTACTAACTACTAACCACAATCACTAACTACCAATCACAATTACTAACTACCAATCACAACTACTAACTACTAACCACAATTACTAACTACCAACCACTAACTACTAACCACAATCACTAACTACTAACCACAATTACTAACTACTAACCACAATCACCAACTACCAACCACAATCACTAACTACCAACCGCAACCATTAAGCACCAGCCACAACCACAAACTATCAACCACAACCACGATATCACCAACAACCAACCACAACCACAAACTATCAACTACAACCACGATATCACCAACAACCAACCACAAACTATCAACCACAACCACGATATCACCAACAACCAACCAAAACCACAAACTATCAACCACAACCACGATATCACCAACAACCAAACACAACCACAAACTATCAACCACAACCACGATATCACCAACAACCAACCACAACCACAAACTATTAACCACAACCACGATATCACCAACAACCAACCACAACCACAAACTATCAACCACAACCACGATATCACCAACAACCAACCACAAACTTCCAACGGGCGTTGTTGACTGATATCCGTTTTGAGAATCGGTTCCCGGTGCTGACAGTCGGGAATCGGCGATCGATTCCAGTGGCACGCGAGTAGCGAGGGCACCGCAAACCGCACGGCGGCAGGCCCAAGTCATTGCGTGCCTTGCGTCTCAAAACCAAAGGTACAGGCGCAGCCCTGCAATTGCTCGCCGGCTCCACTGTTGGCGGAAGGGCGGTAGGGGGGGGGGTTGCGGGGGTTGGGGGGGGGGGCTCCGCTAGAGGGAAGCGGCTGTTCGCTCCACTCGTCCACGTATCGGAATAGGTGAGGATTACCCACGCTTTACCCCACCCCCACCCCCCACACACGCATCGTGCCCATTGCCTGCCTGTGGTGGAATTCGTTCGCTGCCGCTGCGGGGTTGGACATTAGACAGAGGCAGCGGAGGGGGCGGGGTGGCGGGCGGGGGGGTTCGGAAAGTCGCCCTTAATTGCTTCAGCTGCCGTGCCGGGAGATGGAGTCGAGCCGGTGGATCCACCCGTACAAGCCGATTTGCCCCCGAGGGTGCTGCTATGCCGACGAATCCCATCGGAGTTCACGGGCGCTGGGCTTCGAACATGCGCACGCACGTGCGTGCGCATGTTCGTAGTGCGTGCGGGCAAGGGGGAGACACTCAAAAGCTGCACATGGAACCCGCTTGCTGTACCGCCATGCCCTGGCCACTTCACAGCAGTTCTACGAGGAGGTTTGGGATACTCGCAGATATCTGCGCGATCCACCAACCCTCGTCTCCAAAACGCCCAAAGCTCCGTACAAATAGAGACAATCTACTCGCTGCGCTGGCATATCCGTGCCTGGCTCATTTGCTTAGCTACAACATCCTGGAGGTGGCCTGGTTGGTGTCTGTGAGATGAGAGACGCGGAGACCCTGGGTTCCAGCGTGCGTGTCTCTACGTGAGTCCGTGGGGCCTCTCTCTGCTCGCCGATGAGACCCCGGCGGAATCGCTGTGGTTGGAGCCGAAGCCTGGACTGCTGCCCCCGGGATCTCAGCGCCTCCGATCTCTCAACACAGCCACCTCCGGGGTTTTCGAGCGGAGCAAATGGGCGAGGAAACCGCGTCCGCGGTGATGGCAGCGCAGCAAGTAGAGAGCCAAATCCACGTGTGGGCGCTCTCTGGCCCGTGTGCGCGGAGGGCTTCCTCCCGGTTCTCGAGATCCCCCTCCTGCACGCACGCACGAACGCCTCTCTCACGCTCGTATTCGCGGCGCGTTGGGCACGACGTCGCGATGGAGTTGTTGAGACTCCGGGAGGATGTTCCGGGGTAAAGGAACGGCATGGTGACGATCGTTCTCCTGCGGCTCAGCAGACGCAATGCGATCCGTCGCCTTGGCGAGCCCCTCGCTTACTCACCCTGTGCGTGTCTGTCGGCTTGTGCGTCTCATTGCCTGTGTGCATGCGTGTCCATGCGTCCTCATGTGCGCGCGCGTGGAGCGGTGGTGCAGTGGTTAGCGCGCTGCGCTATGAACCCTGCGACCCGAGTTCGATTCCCGCTCACGGCCAACACCGGTGACCATTATTTGAACCGGTCCTGGGCCTCCCCGAGGTCGGCTCAGCCTCAAATGAGTACCTGGTGCGGTGTGTAAACATCGCCACTGGGGAGACAAAGTCGATCGGGCGTGGTGCTGGCCACCCACCCCCTCGTGTGCCGTGCCGGCCTTTATAGGTGCTCGCTAACAGCACTTGCCCCTACAGTCTGTTAAGGATATACGGGGGATATTTGTCTTTGTGTCTCTGTGCGCGTGTGCTTCTCCCCCCACCCCGCTGACGCGTCCATGCCGCCTCCGCGTCATCGTCCTCGTCCCTCCACCTCCTCCGTCTGTGCCTCCGTGCGACACACAAAGACGAGGAGGTCACTGAGAACCACCAGAGCAAAGGTAGCAACCGCCTCGCGTAACCTAGCAACAGCATCCGTTTCCTAGGAGTAGCATGTGGTCCCTAGCAACACCACTTGGTCCCTAGCAACAGCATCCAGCCCCTAGAAATGGCATCTGGACCCAAGCAGCAGAAGCTGAACCCTAGCAAAAGCACTTGACCCTAGCACCATCGCCTGTACCCTAGCAACAGCACATGGACCGTAGCAACAGCACATGGACCATAGCAACAGCACCTTGACCCGTGCAACAGGAGCTGGACCCTAGCAGCAGCAGCTGGACCCTAGCAACAGCACCTTGACCCTAGCAACAGCAGGTCGACCCTAGCAACAGCACATGGATCCTAGCAACAGCAGCTGAACCATAGTAACAGCAGCAGAACCCTAACAACAGCAGCTGGACCCTAGCAACAGCAGCTGGACCTTAGCAACAGCAGCTGGACCCTAGCAACAGCAGCTCGACCCTAGCAACAGCGCATGGATCCTAGCAACAGCACATGGATCCTAGCAACAGCAGCTGGACCCTAGCAACAGCAGCAGAACCCTAGCAACAGCAGCTGGACCTTAGCAACAGCAGCGGAGCCCTAGCAACAGCACATGGATCCCAGCAAGATGATATCGATGGCAAGGCCACTCGGAAGAGGAGGGGGGGGGGTGAAAGGCCCGAACCGCGAGCGTCTGTGGCAAGTGGCGGCCATGACGACAGCGCGGTGACGATGGCGCCACGGCAGTTCTGACGCCTACGACGCCACCACCGGCGATGTTGACGAGTATGATGTTGACGAGTATGATGTTGACGATGTTGACGATGATGACGTGACGAGGTTGATGTTGACGAGGATGACGTGGATGAGGATGATGTTGACGAGGTTGATCTTGATGATGATGTTGGCGAGGATGAAGTTGACGGGGATGACGTTGACGGGGATGACGTTGACGGGGATGACGTGGACGAGGATGACGCGGACGGGGATGACGTTGACGGGGATCTGTGTTGGTCTGCACAGCCAAGGCGCAGGATGGGGTGGCGTCGGTGGAGATGCAGCCGCTGCGAGTGGGGGACGGGGGCGAGGCGGGCGACGCGGGCGATGGGGGCGAGGGGGGCGACGCGGACGATGCCCGGGAGCGGAGGCCGGCGGCGCCGCCCAAGAAGGAGAAGTCGGTGCTGCAGGGGAAGCTCACCAAGCTCGCCGTGCAGATCGGCAAGGCCGGTGAGCGGCACGGCGCGGCGGAACGCTCCGCCGGGGTCACCCGGTCGCGTCGCCCGGAATCGCCGTCAAACGCCGTGCGGTGCGATGCGGCTGGGGCGATGCGCTACGAACCCGGCCACCCGAGTTCGATTCCCGTCCACGTGCAACATCAGTGGCGATTGCAACCTGAACCCTCCTGGGCCTTCCCCAGGGTCGACTCAGTCTGAAGTGTCTTTTTTAGTGTTCCTACCTTTGTGCGTATGTTGAACTTCTTTCGCACCGTACATAGTGACCCGTGCTAATCGGAGTTTCTCTGATCCACCTCCCACCCCGAACCCCCGCTACCCCCACCTCCCCGGCAGGTCTGGCGATGTCGTCGGTGACGGTGGTGATCCTGGTGCTCTACTTCGTGATCGACACGTTCTGGGTGCAGGGCCGGCCCTGGCTGGCCGAGTGCACGCCGGTCTACGTGCAGTACTTCGTCAAGTTCTTCATCATCGGCGTCACCGTGCTCGTCGTGGCCGTGCCCGAGGGGCTGCCCCTCGCCGTCACCATCGCCCTCGCCTACTCCGTCAAGGTGTATTGTGGGACGCGCATAAAGGGGGGGCGGCACTCGCGGTGAGGTGCATTGTGGGAGGCGGAGAGGTGGGGTGGCAGTTGTGACAGAGGTGCATTGTGGGAGAGGTGGCAGCAAAGGGGCTACGCCCCCGATCGCTGTCACCATCTCCCTTTGCATGGTCCATCAAGGTGCATTGTGGGACACGGAGTCAGGATACGTACATATAGATAGCGAGAGATGGCGACGGCATAGGGGAGGGGTTTCACCCATCAGTGGATAGATCATAGCTGATGACGACGATGACGCTGATGATGATGACGTAATATTTGTGGCGAGGGTTAGGCAGAGCTTTAATGGCCGCGATGCTTTTCGCCAACGCGTGCGTCATCTTTAAAAGTTGGCGAGAGTTGTACCCGTTCGATGATGACGCCATCGTGACCTCATCACGTCCGCTCCGTGGCGCAGAAAATGATGAAGGACAACAACCTGGTGCGGCACCTGGACGCGTGCGAGACGATGGGCAATGCCACGGCCATCTGCTCCGACAAGACGGGCACGCTCACCACCAACCGCATGACGGTGGTGCAGGTGAACCTCGTGCACCACCAACCACCGACCACCGACCAATCACCACCAACCACAGCAGTCAGCCAATAAACACCAACTACAACTATCGACCAATCACCACCAAACACAGCTGTCAGCCAATAAACACCAACCACAACCACCGACCAATCACCACCAACCACAGGAGTCAGCCAATAAACACCAACCACAACCACCGACCAATCACCACCAACCACAGCAGTCAGCCAATAAACGCCAACCACCGACCAATCGCCACCAACCACAGCAGTCAGCCAATAAACGCAAACCACAACCACCGACCAATCGCCACCAACCATAGGAGTCAGCCAATTAACACCAACCACAACTACCGACCAATCACCACCAACCACAGCAGTCAGCCAACAAACACCAACCACAACCACCGACCAATCACTAAAACCACGAACCAATCACCGCCAACCACAACAACCACCGACCAATCACCTCCGTCCAATTACCACCAACCACAAGTACCGACCAATCACACCAGCAACCACAACCACCGAGCGATAACCGCTGGCGCTGGCGGTGCGTGGTGCTGGTGGTGCGGTGCAGGCGTTTGTGGGCGGGGTTCTGCACCGCACGGTGCCGGGCGCGGAGGCCCTGGCACCGGCCACGCTGGACACGCTCACCACCGGCATCGCCGTCAACTGCGCTTACACCACCAAGATCCTGGTGAGCACTCAACACCAACATCCTGTCAGACACTCACCACCAACATCCTGGTGGGCGCTCACCACCGAGATCCTGGTGAGCAACATCTAGACACTTGGAACTGCCCGCATGCCTGCCCTCTCACCTCCTCACCACCGCCCGCTCTCTCCGTCTCCCCCTCTCCTCCCTCCTGCCATCCTTCCCACCCCACCGCTCCTCCTCGTGGCCGCCAGGCCCCGGAGAAGCCCGGGGGGCTGCCGCGGCACGTGGGCAACAAGACGGAGTGCTCGCTGCTGGGGCTGGCGCTGGCGCTGGGGCGAGACGCGCAGGCGGTGCGGCGGATCGTGCCGGAGGAGTCGCTCTTCAAGGTGTTCACCTTCAACTCGAGCCGCAAGTCCATGAGCACCGTGCTGCGTGCCGAGCACGTGGCCGCCGCCGCCCCCGCCGCAGCCGCCGCCGCCGGGCTCGTGGGGAGCGGCGTCGGTGCCGCGGCGCCGCCGATCTCGGGCTTCCGCGTCTTCACCAAGGGCGCCTCCGAGATCGTCCTGAGAAAGTGAGGGGTGGCCAGTGTGTGACGACGCGGTGTGGCTCGATGCTGCGGTGTTGTGATGGCGCGGTTGTGCGGCGCGTGGTTTTGCTGTGTCTGGTGCGATGTGTGCTGTGTGATGTGATCTGCGCGGTGTGATGTGCGGTGCGTGCTGTGTTGTGCGGTGTGTGGTGTGCTTGTGTGATGAGATGTGCGCGTTGTGATGTGCGATGTGCTGTGTGTGGTGTGATGTGCGGTGTGTGGTGTGCTGTGTGTAGTGTGATGTGCGGTGTGCTGTGTGTGGTGTGATGTGCGGTGTGTGGTGTGCTGTGTGTAGTGTGATGTGCGGTGTGCTGTGTGTGGTGTGCTGCATGGTGTGTGATGTGATGTGCGTGATGATGTGGTGGGATGCTTAGCTGTCAATGGGGGCTAGACCACAAGGCAGCAGCAAAGCAACGCCCCAGGTCACTCCCTCACTCCCATTGCCAGCTAGCCCTAGCGAAGGCCTCGCCCGGTTAAAACCAAACCCGGGCGCAAGCGCTCGGAGTCGGAGTCCCGCTCGGCGGACACGATCGCCGGCTCCACCGCCCCCCCGCACCCCCACGCACTTCCCAGGTGCTCGTGGGTCCTGAACGCGGCGGGGGAGGCGGCGCCGCTGCGCGCCCGCGAGCGCGACGCGCTCGTGCGCTCCGTGGTGGAGCCCATGGCGAGCGAGGGCCTGCGCACCATCTGCCTGGCGTTCCGCGACCTGCCCTCGGGCGGCGGCGGCGGCGGCGCCGACCCCGACTGGGAGGACGAGAGCGCCATCGTCGCCGACCTCACCTGCATCGCCGTCGTCGGCATCGAGGACCCCGTGCGGCCGGAGGTGAGGCGTGGAGGGAGAGGGCGAGGAGATTTAGGGGCGGGGGGGGGGGGGAGGATTTGAGACCGTCGGCTCGCAGCGAGACGGGCAGGTGACCGACGGAAGTGGGCGGTGTGGCCTGGACGGTGAGCGGTGCCGGGGGTCTGGTCTCGGCGGATCGGTTGGGGGATCAAAGCAGAGATGGCGAGCAAATTTCATCTCCCCCCCCCCCGCCGCCCGCACCTCGTGCTCCTTCTCTCCATGCCCCCCCCCCTCTCCCCCTGCCCCCCGTCCTCGCCAGGTGCCAGATGCGATCCGGAAGTGCCAGCGCGCAGGCATCACGGTGCGCATGGTGACGGGCGACAACATCAGCACGGCGCGCGCCATCGCCAGCAAGTGCGGCATCCTGATGCCCGGGGAGGATTTCCTGTGCATCGAGGGCAAGGAGTTCAACCGGCGAATCCGCAACGATAAGGGAGAGGCGAGCGCCCGCCCGCCCGCATCCGCTCACCCACTCACTCGCTCACCAGCAAGCCGTCCTCATTGCTTCCGAGCAGAAGGCGATGTCGTAGCTCGACGATCATGACGATGGAGGCGGCGCGCTGCTGCAATTATTCACTGACCCCACGTGATGACGCCGGGCTGGGGGATTTTCTGCACATCGACCGCCTCAACCACCACAGCGAATATCACCACCACCACTACCACCGCCACCACCGCCACCACCGCCACCACCGCCACCATCATCACCACCTCCACCCCCACCACCTCAACCGCCACAACCACCGCCACCACCGCCGCCACCGCCACCACCGCCGCCTCTGCCACCACCGCCACTACCGCTGCCACTGCCACCACCGCCACCACCACCACCGCCACCATCACCACCGCCACCACCGCCCCTACCACCGCCACCACCGCCGCCACCGCCACCACCGCCACCACCACCACCGCCCCTACCACCACCCTCACCACCACCACCGCCACCACCACCACCGCCACCGCGCGGCGTTGCGTCTAGTGACGGGAGCGTCGTGTGCTCCCCCACCCCCGCCCCCCCCCCACTCCCCCCACCCCCTACCCTCCCGGTGTGCCATGGGACAGATAGAGCAGGAGAGAATCGACAAGATCTGGCCCAAGCTTCGAGTGCTTGCTCGCTCCTCCCCCACAGACAAACACACGCTCGTCAAAGGTGAGTGTCGCTCGCCCGCTCACCCACTCGCTCATTCACTCGCTCATTCACACGTGCATTCGGCGACATGCTGCGCGTGATCTCCGACCTACGACCTTTGGAGATATTTTGTTCGTCTTTTTTTCTGCTCAATTGAACCGAGCTGCGGATTCGGCGCCCGCATCGCGACGGAGAACCCCCGTCCGGGATCCTCGCTTGAGCGGCGCGCCACTCCCCGTGCGTCAGAGAACGGGCCCGCGGAAGCGGATGTCACAGAGCTACCTCCCGAGTTTCGGTCAGGTGCCCTCTGGTTCAGGCATTAGGGGGCAGCACTGCCCACCCTCGCCCCGCCGCCGAGAGTGGTGACCGTCGCGCGATGGTCGAGCCAACGTTCTCACTCTCACAGCTGGAATTTGGCCAAAGCGAGTGGCGGCACCGGGACGAATGAGACCGGCGATCGGTGGCTCCGGGCCCTCGACCCCACAGCGAACGCTCGACCCCCCGGGCACGCGCGAGGGCTGCGACCCCCCCCGTTAACCTTCGACCCTGCGTGCCCTGTGACCCGACCCCTCCGCGTGACCCCCCCGACGCCCCCCCCCCCCACCCGTGCTGACCCCCGTGGCGGCGGGGAACAGGGATCATCGACAGCACGGTGGGGCAGCGCCAGGTGGTGGCGGTGACGGGCGACGGCACCAACGACGGGCCCGCGCTCAAGAAGGCCGACGTCGGCTTCGCCATGGTGATGCCCCGCAGCCGCGCTCACCCACGCTCACCCACGCTCACCCACAATCCCCCACGCTCACCCACGCTCACCCACGTTCAACCACGCTCGCACGTGTTCACCCGCGCTCACCCACACATGCTCGTGGCACAACATGCAAACAAAAATGCTCTGATAATGCGTGCATTGTCGTTGAAACTGATTGGCCTACAGTTTTCTTCATGGCCTCGTCTCACCAGTGTTAGACGAGAGAACGCCTTTTGGCGTCAAAGACAATGCATATATTATTACAGCATGTTTGTTTGCACGTTTTGCCACAAGTACGTGTGGTATCTATTTGGTGGTGTTTGAACATCGGTTTTATTGCCAGAAAGGGTAAAACCTCTTCTTATTTTTCATCATTTTTGATACTGACAAAAAAGAGGTCCCATAGATACCGCGCTCGCCCGCGCTCACCGCCACGTGACCGCGAGTAGCCACGTGGCGGTGACGCGGTGGCCCAGAGGCAGCGGCGATTTGCAGAGGTTCGCGAGGCTCGAATTCGGCGGCCGCCCTGGTTATCCCTGCGGCGGCGGTGGTGACGATTGACCGCGCCACTGCCGGTTCACACGCGCGCGTTAAAAGATGCCGTGAGGTCGTTCGCAAAGCACCCCGTTCGCGCGCCGGCGTCGCGGTCCAATGTTGCCACGATTTTGATAGCGACGCCCCAAGCCACTCAATTGGGATCGCGCACACAGCCGACGAGATCATCGGCGCCTTCCCTTACTGGCAGCAGACTTGTTCCCCCACTCTTGCGACCGAGACTGTATCCCTGGTCTCTTTTAAGTTCTCAGCCGGTCAAACAACGGTCAGCTCGACAGCTCGAACCCGCTACTTACCTGCGGTCGTACATGATGGACCTACCAGGGTCGCCCAGAAAGTAACGGGCCACTTTTTTCCCGTTTCTCTCGGCCAAAATGTTGAAGAGAAGCGACACCTAACCCAACGGAATTAGCAGACGCACTGTTGAACTTCTTTCGCACCGTACGTAGCCAACCGCGCCGTCGGCTTAACGCGCGCATTACTTTTCCACGATGATCCCCAATGGCTTAGCGCCATCGCTATGCATGAGGGTGCATTCCTTGCCACCCGGAATGTCAATGGGGCATTAACATTCCGGGCGGCCCTCGCACGCTCACCTGCACTCACCTGGAGTAAGCCGAGTGAGAGTCGTGGGGGGGGGGGCCAAACGCCGTCCAGAATGGCGCTCCCCGGAGCTCCGTCTACACCGCCGGGGCCTTTGCACCGATGGCCCTGATGCCCCGGTGTGCCCGTCACCCCCGCAGGGCATCGCGGGCACGGACGTGGCCAAGGAGGCGTCGGACATCATCCTGACGGACGACAACTTCAGCTCCATCGTGAAGGCGGTGATGTGGGGGCGCAACGTCTACGACAGCATCTCCAAGTTCCTGCAGTTCCAGCTCACGGTCAACGTGGTGGCCGTCGTCGTCGCCTTCACCGGCGCCTGCTTCACGCAGGTGGCGACGCGGGGCCGCACCTACGTCTCACCCGTGGCCTGGGACTCACCTGTTGCCTGTGACTCACCCGTGACCTGTGGCTCACCTGTTACCTGTGACTCACCTGTGACCTGGGACTCACCTGTTATCTGTATCTCACCTGTTACCTGTGACCCACCTGTTACCTGTGACTGACCCATGACCTGGGACTCACCTATTTTCTGTGACTCACCTGTATCTCACCTACGATTAACCTTTGACCTGTATCTCACCTGTGACCTGTGTCTCACCTGCGATGATCTGTAACTCACCTGGGACACGAATCGGTCCGTCCAGGACCTGCCAACTGCACGAAAAACATAAAACCCAAATTCCAGGCGGTGACGATGATGGCGACGATAACAATGATGACGATCACGAAGATAACGACAATGATGATGGCGACGATGATGACTTTGACGACGACGACGGGAAGTGACGCAACCGCTTGGGCGGGGGGCCACAAATTGCGAAACGCCACCGGAGGAACGCGACCCGGCCCCCGAAATTCACTGCGGCCCGCCCTCGCGTCTCTCCGGCCTCTACCCCCCCCCCCCGCAACCTCCCGTCCACCGTCACCGCGGACCGTGCCGTGCAGGACTCCCCGCTCAAGGCCGTGCAGATGCTGTGGGTGAACCTCATCATGGACACGTTCGCGTCGCTTGCGCTCGCCACGGAGCCGCCCACCGAGGAGCTGCTGCTGCGCCGGCCGTACGGACGCAACAAGCCGCTCGTGTCGCTCACCATGACCAAGAACATCCTGGGCCACGCCATCTACCAGCTCACCGTCATCTTCACGCTGCTCTTCGCCGGTGGGCCTCGCGCAGGGAACCCGCGCGTGCGTCCGTGTGCGCGTGGCGTACCCGCCTGGACCGGTTAGCGCGCTGCGCTGCGAATCCGGCGACCCAAGCCACCAACACACGCACGGCAGCGCAGGCGCTGCCGTGCGTGTGTTGGTGGAGCGGACGGTCGCTCGAAGGGGTCTCGCAGCTAGTTCTTTGATGTCCGCTTCCGCGAGCCATTCTCCGAGAGCACGAAGGGCGACTGCCGCTCGAGCGGTTGCCCTGAAATGGACAAATGAGTGCCTGGTGCGACGTGTGAACATCGCCACTGGGGAGACAAAGGCGGCCGTGCGTGGTGCTGGCCACCCCGACCACCTCCTGCGACGTGTCGGCCTTCGTAGGTACCTGCTCGCTAACCGCGCTTGCCCCGACAGTCGGTTAAGGCTCCGCGGGGGATCTCCGTCTTCGGTGCAGGTGAGCGGATTTTCGACGTGGACAGTGGGCGCAACGCTCCGCTGCACGCGCCGCCCTCGGAGCACTACACCATCATCTTCAACGCCTTCGTCATGATGCAGCTCTTCAACGAGATCAACGCGCGCAAGATCCACGGGGAACGCAACGTCTTCGACGGAGTCTTCCGCAACCCCATCTTCTGCTCCATCGTCTTCGGAACCTTCGTCGTGCAGGTTCACTACCCCCCCCCCCCCCTCCTCCTCCTCACCGCCTTCTCCTTCTCTTCATCGTCATACGTCGCCGTCTTCATCGGCCTGGTCATCTCCTCCTCCTCCTCCACCTCGCCAGGCCCCACACCGCCAGCCTGACTGACACCACTGGCCCACACCACCCCAAACCCCCCCCCCCACCACCTCCACCACTCCCCCCACCACTCCAACAGCCCCCACCTCAACCACTCCCCCCACCGCCCCCAGCGCCCCCACCTCCACAACTCTCCCCACCGCAAACCACGGCCCCTCGCTCGCCCCCCGCCCCCCCCCCCCCCCCCCGTAATGTGGGCGGCGCTGCCTGTGCCGCAGGTGGTGATCGTGCAGTTTGGGGGGAAGCCGTTCAGCTGCTCGGGCCTGAGCCCCGAGCACTGGCTGTGGTGCGTCTTCTTGGGCGCTGGCGAGCTCCTGTGGGGCCAGGTGAGAGGGGCCCCGCCGCTACAGCACCCACACACGGCGCCTCCGCACGCGCCCACCTCGCTCGGAGCGCCACGGGCAGCAACGCCACGGGCAGCAACGCGACATGCTCACTCACCGGTGACACACATTCGCTGGTGACACACACACAGGTGACACACACACAGGTGACACACAGTCGCTGGTGACACACACACAGGTGACACACACACAGGTGACACACACACACACAGGTGACACGCACACACAGGTGACACACACACGGGTGACACACACACACACAGGTGACACACACACACACAGGTGACACACACACGGGTGACACACACACACAGGTGACACACACACAGGTGACACACACACGGGTGACACACACACGGGTGACACACACACAGGTGACACACACACACAGGTGACACACACACACGGGTGACACACACACGGGTGACACACACACGGGTGACACACACACAGGTGACACACACACACAGGTGACACACACAGGTGACACACACACACGGGTGACACACACACAGGTGATACACACACACAGGTGACACACACACAGGTGACACACACACACACAGGTGACACACACACACGGGTGACACACACACGGGTGACACACACACACACAGGTGACACACACACAGGTGACACACACAGGTGACACACACACACACAGGTGACACACACACAGGTGACACACACACAGGTGAGGACCGCTGTCACCTGGCTCTAGGAGTGCCCCCCCCCCCTCTGCCCCACTCGCGTGAGGGCGTCCAGGCCCTTAATAGGCGCTCGCTAATGCTGGGGACCGCCATCGCCCTTGTGCTCAGCTGATCTCGGCGGTGCCGACAGCGCGACTGCGGTGCCTGCGGGACGCGGGGGGGGGCCGGGCCCCCCGCTCGCCCCCCCCGGACGAGGGCCCGGACGACGAGGAGGAGATCGACCATGCGGAGAGGGAGATGCGGCACGGGCAGATCCTGTGGTTCCGCGGCCTGCACCGCATCCAGACGCAGGTTTGACACCGTACCGCACACCACACCTTGCCCAAGCGCACCACACCACGGCACGCTGGGCCACCCGCGAAGTCACGCCACGTCCCACCAGCACGCCGCATCGCACCGCTCGCGCAGGCGAGCGCGACCACCCAGCGCCACGTCCACGCGGCATCAACCGCGGCCGCCGGCCACCACCGCCACCAACTTACTCACCGGGGACTACGCAGCAGCGCTCCCCATTGGCAGATTAACACCTCACAAATGAGTCTCATCCTGGTCCCTGGGTTCTCGAGTTCTCACCTGGTCATACGAGATACACCGCACACCACCACCACACACCACCATACACCACCACACACCACCAGACACCACCACACACCACCACCACACCACCACACACCACCACCACCACACACCACCATACACCACCACACACCACCAGACACCACCAGACACCACCACACACCACCACACACCACACCACCACACACCACCACCACCACACACCACCATACACCACCACACACCACCAGACACCACCAGACACCACCACCACACACCACCATACACCACACCACCACCACACACCACCATACACCACCACACACCACCAGACACCACCACAAACCACCACCACACACCACCACACACCACACCACCACACACCACCACCACCACACACCACCATACACCACCACACACCACCAGACACCACCAGACACCACCACCACACACCACCATACACCACACCACCACCACACACCACCATACACCACCACACACCACACCACCACCACACACCACCACACACCACACAACCACCACACCACCACCACACACCACACCACCACCGCACACCGCACCATGCCTCCCCCCGCAGGTGCCGCCCGCCCAATGACCCCTGCCCCCCCTTCCTCCTGACCCCCCCCCCCCCGCCCACAGATAAACTCGCTCAACACGTTCCTGACGGGCGGCGCGGCTCCGCGGCGCCCCTCGCTCAAGAAGCAGGGCTCTCTCTCCAGCGCGCAGCCCGACGGAGTAACACCCCCCCCCCACCCCCCCTCCCCACGCACGCACCCCCTGAAGTCCCCGCGGCGCGTCGCGCGTTCCGCCCCCGTCCGCAGGGCGACGCGGAGTCGGCCGCGCCGCAGCGCACGAGGCTCCTCCCGTCGCCTCCTCCGGCGTCTCCTGCGGCTCAGATTCCCGGTCGGCTCTCGGCCCCATTTCCACCTCCCCTCCCCTTTTCCTCCGAGTCGTCGAGCGGGGTCCGTCAGGGTCGCCGCGTCGCGCGGATCGTCCTGCGTGGATGCGCGAGGGTAAAATTTCAACGGGTCGGCGGCGGGGGGCGGTGGCTGGACGCAACGGGTGGGGGGGGGGGGGGGTGGCACCCAAGCTGCCGTGCGTGGAGCGGGCGGTCGCTCGAAGGGGTCTCGGAGCGAGTCCTTTGATATCCGCTTCCGTTCTCCGATAGCACGAAGGGTGACTGCCGCTCGAGCGGTTGCCATGAAATCGGGGGAGTAAATGACAAAAATAAACATGTAAATGGACGCGAAATTGCAATTTATGCGCTACTTCGGACCGGTGGCGTCACCTTGACATGCAAGGCATGCTGGGATACTCGGGTACGACGGCCTGTCTGTGTCACCTCCTCGCGGGGTATCTCGTCGCCGTTCAGTGTCGATAGTCCGTGGCGTGAGTGGTCCTCCCCCGATCTTAACCCCTCCGTCCACTCCCACACTGACCACCGTCTTTCTCTTAACAGACGTCTAACCACTCGTCCTGAGTGCCCTCACCACCCCGCTCCCCCCTCTTCCCCATGACGGCGTGAGTACCGTCGACGTTTGCAAGAAGCTCCTTCGCTTTGCCCCCCCCCCCCCCGCCGTGAGTCAGTCCCTACCTCGGTCGCATGGCTCACCGAACCGATTTTGATTCATGGCTCATTCCCACCGCAACAAAGCAGGCAGCTGTGGTATTGATGACGAGTTGTCGTCCAACTTAACCTTTGACCTGGGTCAAATAATACCTTTGAACTAAATCTATTGTTGCACCGTTTTAATTTAATGGGAATTTTGTTTTTATTTTTTAAATTTAATATAAATGCCCAACCTGACAATTTACTTTGGCAAACGAAGAGGCAAGTCCCAGTGATATGGGGGATCAAATGCAGTCTTTTGGGAGGCAGGGACTGAGACTGCGGAATTTCACGGCTGTACACTAATGCTGGTGGCTTGTGTGGCTCTCTCACACGCGTGCGGTGCCCCACGGGGCTCACCCAGCCACTCTCTGGGAGTGGCTGGGCTGGGCGAGGGCTAGGGTTAGGTCTAAGGTTAGGGCTAGGGTTAGGACTATAAGTAGGATGAGGGTTAGGGCTAGAGTTAGGGATAAAGCTAAGGTTAGGGCTAGGGTTAGCACTATCAGTAGGATGAGGGTCAGGGCTAGAGTTAGGGAGATAACTAAGGTTAGAGCTAGGGTTAGGATTATTATCAGTATTATGAGGGTTAGGATTATCAGTATGATGAGGGTTAGGACCAGAGTTAGGGCTAGATTTCGGGCTAAAGTTAAGGTTAGGGCTAGAGTTAGGACTATCAGTAGGATGAGAGCGAGGGTTAGGACTAAGATTATGATTCAGGTTATGACTAAGGTTAACATCGATATCTGGGCTTACGGTTAGGACTAATGTAATGTTTGAGGGCTACTTGGGCTCTGGCTAGGATTAGGGCTTTGGCCAGGTGTGAATTTCTGGCTAGGGTTAGGGTGAGGGCTCAGTCCAAGCGTAGCACGACTACACTGGTTTAACCTTGCCTTGGACTGCTGTTAGAAATCAAGGCTTCGACCAAGACAAACGAGGAGCTGCTGCTCCTGAGGCTCCACCAAGCCGGGTTTGGTTCCAGCTCCGTGGGGAACGTTGAACGCTTGCGGGTCGCCCGAGATGTCAACGCATTGATAGAGGCCTTCATCCACCAGTGGATTGACTGCATCTGATGATGATGATGACGACGATGATCATTTGGCCTCGTTTCAAGGACAGCGTCAGGGTTTACGCGGCCCTAAACCTCGCCGGAATGCTTGGACCTTGCTTTGGGGGGCGGGCAGTGCCAGATTAAGCTCGTGTGGGGCCTGTAGCATTTGTTATAAAGGGGCCCTAAATAAAAAAAAACGTTAATATTAAAACACAATTTTGTACTTGCATTGTAAAGTAATTTTATTTTTTGTCATTTGTAATTAAGCCAGATAACACGACAAATCGCTCACCTTAAACACGCGGTCGTTCATAAAAGTTGAAGGCGGTATAGTACTATAGTCATCGAGCAAGTGCAAAATCACTCAACCGGAATTGACAGCTTGAAAGCATTTAGCGCGGTGCCCTTGAAAGTGCGGGACCCGTAGCCTGTGTAGCTACTTGTGTAGCTACTTGTGCTACTACGATAATCCGGAACTGGGGGGGGGTTATCCTATTCTAGATTTGAAGCTTTCGTGACTGCAAGGATCCATACTCTTTGGTTCTATTCGGTAAAGTCACGTAGGTAAAAAAAATAAAAAACAAAAATCACGACGTTTCGGCCACAACACAAGCGGCCTTCATCAGGTGAAGGGACCAGACTGTCTCGAAGACTGCGCTGGAGTGAAAAAAACAGTATGGGGGTTATCTTAGTTTGCAGCTCAGACCTCGCCGTTCCCGGTTTGCAGTGCGAACCGTCGCGTGTTCTCCTCAGTGATGCCCCCCCTCCTCCCCCACTCCTCCTGTTGCAGCTCCTGCTGCCGTGGGTGCTGACGAGTGCTGCCGTGTCTAACTAACCCTCTTTGTTAAACTCACCCCCTTTGCCTCGCTCGTTTCATCTCCGCTCAGGCCCCCACCACCCCCACCTCGATCGCGCTGCTAACCCGGGCGCGCCCGCCAGCGGTTGCTCTGCTCTAACCCGTGCGTGTGCGTGGGTGTGTGCGTGGATGTGTGCGCGGGTGCGTGGGTGTGTGCGTGGGTGTGTGCGCGGGTGCGTGGGTGTGTGCGTGGGTGTGCGCGGGTGTGTGCGTGTGTGGGTGTGTGCGTGTGTGGGTGTGTGCATGTGCGTGGGTGGTTGTGTGCGTGGGTGTACGGGGGCGTGGGTGTGTGTGGGTGTGTGCGTGGGTGTGTGCGCTCACACGGAAGTGTAGCGGTTCGCGCTACGCTGCACTACGAACCTCGGCAACCCGGGTTCGATTCCTCTTCACGGCCACCAAAACCGGTGACGATTATCTGAACCGGTCCTGGGCCTCCCCTACGTCGGCCAGCCTCAAATGAGTACCTGGTGCGGTGTGTAAACATCGCCACTGGGGAGACAAAGGCGGCCGGGCGTAGTGCTGGCCACCCACCCCCTCGTGTACCGTTCCGGTCTTCATAGGTGCTCGCTAACAGCACTTGCCAGTCTGTCAAGGGATCTTTGTCTTGGGTTTTTTGTGCGCTCACATGAGAGGTTTACGTGGGCTACTGCCCACAAGTCACGCACCACCTACTCCAGTCTACTCGTCACTAGTCACGTGCCACCTACTCCAGTCAACTAGTCACTAGTCACGTGCCACCTACTCCAGTCAACTAGTCACGTGCCACCTACTCCAGTCTACTCTTCACTAGTCACGTGCCACCTACTCCAGTCTACTCGTCACTAGTCACGTGCCACCTACTCCAGTCAACTAGTCACGTGCCACCTACTCCAGTCTACTCGTCACTAGTTACGTGCCACCTACTCCAGTCAACTAGTCACTAGTCACGTGCCACCTACTCCAGTCAACTAGTCACTAGTCACGTGCCACCTACTCCAGTCAACTAGTCACTAGTCACGTGCCACCTACTCCAGTCAACTAGTCACTAGTCACGTGCCACCTACTCCAGTCAACTAGTCACTAGTCACGTGCCACCTACTCCAGTCTACTCGTCACTAATCACGTGCCACCTACTCCAGTCAACTAGTCACGTGCCACCTACTCCAGTCAACTAGTCACTAGTCACGTGCCACCTACTCCAGTCAACTAGTCACGTGCCACCTACTCCAGTCTACTCTTCACTAGTCACGTGCCACCTACTCCAGTCAACTAGTCACTAGTCACGTGCCACCTACTCCAGTCAACTAGTCACTAGTCACGTGCCACCTACTCCAGTCAACTAGTCACTAGTCACGTGCCACCTACTCCAGTCAACTAGTCACTAGTCACGTGCCACCTACTCCAGTCAACTAGTCACTAGTCACGTGCCACCTACTCCAGTCAACTAGTCACGTGCCACCTACTCCAGTCTACTCGTCACTAATCACGTGCCAGCTACTCCAGTCAGCTAGTCACGTGCCACCTACTCCAGTCAACTAGTCACTAGTCACGTGCCAGCTACTCCAGTCAACTAGTCACTAGTCACGTGCCACCTACTCCAGTCAACTAGTCACTAGTCACGTGCCACCTACTCCAGTCTACTCATCACTAATAACCTACTCCAGCTAACTAGTCACTAGTCACGTGCCACCTACTCCAGTCAACTACTCACTAGTCACGTGCCACCTACTCCAGTCAACTAGTCACTAGTCACGTGCCAGCTACTCCAGTCAGCTAGTCACGTGCCACCTACTCCAGTCTACTAGTCACTAGTCACGTGCCACCTACTCCAGTCAACTAGTCACTAGTCACGTGCCACCTACTCCAGTCAACTAGTCACGTGCCACCTACTCCAGTCAACTAGTCACGTGCCACCTACTCCAGTCAACTAGTCACTAGTCACGTGCCACCTACTCCAGTCAACTAGTCACGTGCCACCTACTCCAGTCAACTAGTCACTCGTCACGTGCCACCTACTCCAGTCAACTAGTCACGTGCCACCTACTCCAGTCTACTCGTCACGTGCCACCTACTCCAGTCTACTCGTCACTAGTCACGTGCCACCTACTCCAGTCAACTAGTCACTAGTCACGTGCCACCTACTCCAGTCTACTCATCACTAATCACCTACTCCAGCTAACTAGTCACTAGTCACGTGCCACCTACTCCAGTCAACTACTCACTAATCACGTGCCACCTACTCCAGTCAACTAGTCACGTGCCACCTACTCCAGTCAACTAGTCACGTGCCACCTACTCCAGTCAACTAGTCACTAGTCACGTGCCACCTACTCCAGTCAACTAGTCACGTGCCACCTACTCCAGTCAACTACTCACTAATCACGTGCCAGCTACTCCAGTCAACTAGTCACTAGTCACGTGCCACCTACTCCAGTCAACTAGTCACTAGTCACGTGCCACCTACTCCAGTCTACTCATCACTAATAACCTACTCCAGCTAACTAGTCACTCGTCACGTGCCACCTACTCCAGTCAACTAGTCACTAGTCACGTGCCACCTACTCCAGTCTACTAGCGCACACGCTTGATAGATGCCCACTCTCAGTAAACATTGCCAACGCTGGGCCAATGTTCGCATGTGGTTGAAACCGTCGGGCCAACGTAGGCCCGACTTTCCGCGTTTACCGGTGTAGACGCGGGGACCACTGCTGGCAAATGACGCCGTGTCGCGTTTTCACCTCCCCCCCGCCCTGGGCGCAGATCCGCGTGGTGAACGCGTTCCGGAGCTCGCTGTACGAGGGGCTGGAGAAACCGGACTCGCGAACGTCCATCCACAACTTCATGTCGCAGCCGGACTTCACGGAGGGCGAACACGCCACACCGCAGATCCCGCTCATCGATGACACGGACGCGGACGAGGACGAGGCGCCCACCAAGCGCAACGACGGACTGCGGCCCATCGCGGGCCTCGGCGGGCCTTCGCCCAACCGCAACAACAACCACAACCACCACGACCGCCACCAGCAGCTCAACTTGCAGCCGTACGGCCTCGAGCGCCGCGGCCTCGACAGCGGCATCAGCTTCCTGAGCACGGAGGACGCCAGCAAATCAGCCACCGCCTCCTCCAGCCCCGGCAGCCCCTTCCACAGCTTCGAGACTTCACTCTAGGGGGGGCCGCCGCAGCCGCCGTGTTTCTACCACCGAGTTCTCAGCGCCGCCGCCACGGCCAAATTTTTGTACGGCCGTCATCTTGGTGCCACCCCCTGACGCCGCCATCTTGGGTGTTGCCGCCATGCCGTTGCCGCCATTATTGGTGCTACTGCCATTTCGGGGCCTCCATTTTGTCGCGTACATCTTGGGATTTTCTGACCCTTTTCGTCGATCTGCTGCTGCTGCAGCCGCCGTCGTCCTGGTGTCGTCACCATTTTGTGGCTGCCATATTGGTGCTGCCATCCCGGTTTTGCTTCCCATTTTTGGGGCCGCTAACTTGGTTCTGCCGCCGTATTGGTTTTGACGCCGCCACCTCGGTGCCCGTTTTGCCACTTGGCCTCTTGGGAGAACCAACCGCCAAAATGGCGGCCAAAGGCATCGTCGTCGCGTGCGAACAGCCTTTAACTTTTGTTTCAACCAATGAGGTGTATGGGGGAGGGGTTCTTCTTCTAATTGTCAAACGGAGAGTCTGACGGAAGAAATGTGAGCGGTTAAATGGAAACCGAGGATGTGGATTTATTATTCAGGGCCTTTCCTCTCAGTTAAATCCTTCGTGAGATGCACAAGGCCCGAAGCCTGCCAGGCGACACGACGGAGTTGGGTGTGGGCCAAAAAACAAAAGGCCGATGTTGGGTGGGGAGGGCTGCACTTTGTCCCACTTTGCCACGTAACCTCCCGACCTCACCATGCCGAACTTCGCTCCCCTAGTTCAAGAAGCTCATGCCAAGAGAGGTCCCAAATCCAACCTACCACACCACGTTTTGCCCCCAAAGAAGTGAAATGAAGGTCCTGTTGCCGTTCATGGACTTCACGCGAAATTTAGGAGCTCGGGGCTCTGCAGGGAAACGAAAAAAAACGCGGGGTGGATTTTTTGTTGTGCTCAGGGATTGGATCCGGTCGTTTGTGTGAATTATCCCGAGCCCCGCGGGGCAGCGCTTGAGTAAAACCAGGGATCGACGCGAGAGAAGAGAGGACGTCGGAAATTACATTAATGACACTGGGGGGCCTCCGTTTTCCCTGGGAACGAACCACCTGGGCAGCTTGCGGCGGCACGCGGGTTCACCTCCCACTTACGGGGGCAGCTGTTGACCCATGACCCGTATTGACCTATTGACCTCACGAGGACCCACTTCGTTCCACGGTGTCAGCGATGCAACCGAAGAGCATGCCGTTTCTGGTCTTAAGTTGTCGTTATTTATTTATTGTTCGGACCGCTCACGGAGGCGGCAAAGGTCGGGGCAGAGATGGCGCGAGTCGCGAATCCCGCACGACGCAGGCCCAAGGTGGCGCGAGGAGTACACGCGCGTGTGGGACACTCGGGACGCGCACGCCAACGCACTTGAACACACACACGGACACTTAATGCACGTGTATCTGGTAAATGTGCCGACGTTGGATCGACGTTCCATGTTTACTGGGTAAACACGTACGGCCATGAGCACGCACACGCACACGCACGCACTTACAGTGACACGTGAACACCTGAATACACGCACGTACGCACGCGAACACAGAGGAACATGCGTGCACGGATGAACGTGTACACACGCACACACATTAATACACACTCACTTGTGCAGTGTGGAAACATCATGGACACGTACGCGCACACACATAAGCACTTGATCATGCGCACACATGAACACTGGATCGCACGCACACGAACACTCGAACGCACGCTTAAAGACACGTGAACACTCAATCACGCACACGTGAGCACGTGCACACTTGAGCACACACGTGAACATTTGCGCTTCCATTTTGTACGGTGTGTGGGACACTGAGAGCTGATGACTGTGGATGTTCGTCTCGTAGCACTGCTTCACTTTCACTCTCAACCAAAACGAAAACTGTCAGAGCGTCGATCATCTCCGCCGGCCTATCCCCCCACCCCCTCCACTCCCCACTCCGCCCCCGAGCCAGTGGTTTAAAATTCCACATTCCCATGGCAGGGGCCAGTCCATCCGTGAGACCTATCCCCTCCCACATGTTTCCAGCGGGAACCTTCAGAACGCGTCCAGGAATCTAGCCGGGTCGGGCAGCTACAATTCTTGCCGATTCCAGGCGCTTCCCAGTAGGATTGGTGGATCGCCAAAATGATTGTAGTGCCACTGTGGAGGGACGTGGCAGTACAGAAAGTTGGTTTGTGTTGTGCAACTGCACGCATGCGGGGAGGGGGAGGGGTTTCCAGGCACTCAAGTTTCCTTCCACGTGCGAAATGATCTCTCTGGTGTAACAAACTAAGCTTAATTTTATTGTACCAGGTAAGGCCTACTGAGCTACTATGCAGCTCTTTTTCAGAAGCGACCTGGCCACAAAAAAAGATAGCACAACGAAGTGGCTTATCATGTGAACATTTCTAACAGCCAAATACGCTAAACGCGTGATGTTGATTTTTAAATGTGGAGGGAATAACTGGAGGACCCGGAGAAAAACCCACACGACCACGTGGAGAGAGACATGAAAACTCCAGGTATACAGGCGTCAGGGTAAGAATCGAACCCACGACCTCCTGTATCTCAGGCGAGGGAGTTAACATCTCATAGCCACCGTGGCGCCCCATACATTTAGAGCTGGGACGATTAATCAGTTAGAAAGTCGGCTCCACGGGTGATCAATCAGTTGCATGCAACGTTGGTTGTGCGCAACTGAATCGCTTGCATGCGGAAGTCGCTGCGACGAACTCTTAACTCTCCAGCCTCGATCCGCTCAGAGATGTGTAAGCCACGTGTTTGATCACCTCGCGCTGCGCAATTCGCGAGCCGCGATCGGTCGGTCGTCACGATCCTCGCGGGGGTGGCGCTGACGAGAAGGGGGGGCGGGGCTCGGCTTATGGTGGGCGTGACCAGACACTGAGACCACGCCCTGACACGCCCCTCGTTGCGCAACTGCTTGCTGAGACGAGCGATCTGGTTGCTGCAAGCTCAGATGACCTGTAGAGCCGGCTTAACGTCCGGTGGATGGTCTCCCTCGCCTGACGACCATTAATGAACTCCCTGGCTCCAGCCGCCTCGGGACTCGGTGGTTGGTGGTGGTGGCGGTGGGGAGGTTTTGTCCCGTGGCGTCTAGAATGTAAACCTCGCTCACGATTGTAGAGACATTCTGACAGCAGTTGCTGGAGCGCCCCCCCCCCCCCCCGCCGCCAATCTGCCGCTGACCCCGCCGCTACTGTTAGAAGGGCTTCCTCGCGTCTCAGGTGAAGCCGGACCTCCCCCACCCGCCTCCTTGCACACCTTGGGTAAAGGGGGAGGTGGGGGTGGCGCAGGTGGGGAGGGCGGGGTGCAGCCTGCACCGTGCAGGATGGGATGGGGTCAAGGGGGGTAGTAGTAGACTGAGGCTAGGAGATAGGGGTAGGATTCATCTGTAGGGTTAGGATTGTGGCTAGGGTGGGGGATTAGGCTAATGTTAGGCGCTAGGAACTCGGGCTAGGGTGAGGACTAGAGCTAGGGCTATAAGTAGAGGTTATATAATTAGGGGCAGGATTATGGGCACAATGTTAAGGCTGGGGTTTTTAGCTACAGCCAGGGATAGTGTTGGGGCTCGAGCTATGGTTAGGGATAGCGATCCAGGAGAGGGCTAGGGTTAGAGGTAGGATTAGGGGGTAGGGCTACAGGGAGTATATGATGAAGGCTAGAAACTAGAGCGATTATTAGGGCTTAGACTGCATCTTGGTCAGGAACTGGACGAGGGGTATTGTTAGGACTAGGAATAGGAGTACAGCTGTAAATAGGATGGTGTTTGGGGTTAGTCTGAGGATTAGAGCTGGGACTATAGTAAGGACTAGGGTTTGTGGCTTCGGCGAGTATCAGCTCTTGTGTTATGATAAGTTCAGCGTTACAGTCCAGAATAAAGGTTTTTTGGAGGGTTAGATCGTGCAAATATAAATGTGTCGTTAAACCCGCCACTACCCGACACAGCCAATTATTAAGGTTTGTCACGTAAACAGAACGCGCCAATTAGTTACTAGTTCATCACACCGGTGTGTCGGAGAGTATACCTAACCCCAAAAGAAATAACCTTTATGATGGATAATATTGGTTGCAAAAGCCTACGTGTTAAACATGTGTTAGAGGTCGGAGCTAGGGATGGGGATTGGGGGTTCAGGCGTTTGTATCTGGGGCTAATGATTGCGAGGGGGTGGGGGCTCGGGTTAAGATGTTAGAATGTCGGGCTGGGTTGGGGGCTCGAGTCAGAACCCCAACGACGTCCACCCTCACCGCTACGAGGAGGGCTCGGGGCTTGGGGCCAGCCATCAACCATTACCCTCCCTCCCATCTCCCCCCCTCGTTCCCTTCTCCCCCCCCCCGTCCTGCACCACCTCCGCGTGGCTCTGACAGTCTGCATGAGTTTGGCAATAGTTTATATAAGAGTAACTTAAGTATACACAACACGATATAATTTGTATTATTGTTGTTATTATCACTGTCGATATTATTACTGCCGCTGTTATTTGCCGAGTCGGTGCCACGAGGTTCCGTTTCTTCGCGCGTCTTCATTTCGTGACGCGCCCCTCCCCCCCCATGCCAAGGATGATGATGATTATCAATACAGTATTATAGTAATAATAATTATTATTACGAAAATTTGTATTCATTTTTTTGCATTATTCGGGTCCCCCTTCCTCTCTGTTCCTGACTTTGTGCTTTAAAAACGAAGGCGCCATCTCACCGCGCGCGAGGCTCGTGTTTCTTTGTGGTATTTGGCCCCGCTGGGTGCCACGTGACCTTGTGTCTCCCCCACACCCCCGCGTGCATGCCACCGTCTTTCTTCTGCGACCTCCTCGCTCGTCGCGTTCTCAACCCCTACCCCGCCCCGCCCCACGGTCGCTGACGTCATAAAGAACACCCCGCCCCTCGGTCGCTGACGTCATAAAGAAAAACACCGCCCCCTCCCCTACACTCCCTCCTCCTCCATTTTTTTTGTTCCCCCCCCCCCCACCCACGCTGGACGCCCGCGTGCTTCAGCTGGGCTGAATCTGATGGCGTGTGCCACGACTGGCGAGGAACAATTGAAACACAATGGAGGCGTGGGTGGTGGTGATGGTGGTGGCGGTCATGGTGCTGGTGGTGGTTTTCCGTAATCGTCTTTTTTTTGTTCATTTGGTGGGGGAGCGGTGGCGCAGTGGTTAGCGCCGCGCTACTCACCCGGTCACCCGAGTTCGATTCCAACTCACTGCCCACCCCGTCAAATAACGGTTATGAATTTTGGAACAGGTCCTGAGCCCTTCCCTAGGTCGACTCGGCCTTAACATCAGTACCGAGTGCAGCGTGTGAACAGCAACACTCATGGGGAGGCAAAGGCGGCCGGGCGTGGTGTTGGCCACCTAACCCCCTCGTGTGCCATCGGTGCTCGCTGGGAGTCATTTTCATTTTGACCGCACGCGTACGTGCGTGCGTGCGGATGGGACAGAGCCGGGCAGTATAGGTTCGACTGAGACACCGAGTCAAGCCACCGCTCAGCCCCGCCACCCACGATCGGTTTCTTCTTCCACTTCTACCGCCATGGCCCACGGAGGAAACGTTCAGCCGCGCCGAGTCCGTGCCTCGTGATCGTTGGGTGAAGCAAAAAAAACAACACGAAACGCCTCCCACGAAAATTTATTTTCGCGCGGATGGATAGTGAGCCCCCACCTCCGCCCCGCCCCCCTCCCACCTCCGCCCCCCCCGCCCCACGTCGTCGTCGTCCACGCGTGGCGCCCCCCTCTTGCAGTATCGGGGGGTTTGTTTGTTTGTTGCGGAACCGCGCGTTCTTGTGTCAGGGGGCACGAGCAAGCGTGCGGAGAGGGGGGTGTGGGGGGGGGCTCACAGCTGCTCTGCCATCATCGTCGTTGGGTTCTTTGCCGCTTTTTGAGCCCCC